ATACATGTGTACATGGGTATATGTATGTGTGTATGTGGTTACACGCCTATGTGTATGTATATACGTGTATATGTTATTGTGTATGTGTGTTATTGCATGTGTTTTTGAACATAAATATATAGGTCCTTGCTAGATTAGATAATCGTTATATTTATTTTTATGTTTATATTTGATTTGCAACCTGTAATCGATATTAATTTTGTCAAATTTTCTCAATTACACAGCTGCCATTTCAGTAAATGCCTTTCAGTTTTAGTTTCCCCCGCCCCATCTCTCTCTCTCCCACCTCTTCTTTCCTTTCCTCTCCCTCCCTCTTATTATGATCTTTAACATTAGATCGTCTATGGTGCGTGTATGTCACCACGAAATGTATCTTTAATGTATTAGACATCCGACAACATTCATATTTCTCTCTCTCCTCTATAAAATTCTTCCTGTTAAGTTTTAATCTCCCACCTTCTCTCGTCTGTTACCCCTCTCTTTAGCTCTAACATTCGTCCCACACTCTCATACTTACAATCTCTCTAAATTCTATTTTTATTTCCGGAGTTGTTTTTTTCTGTTTATTTTTGTATTTGTAGGTCTGATGAATTGGATCGTATTTACGATTCCAATGGAATAAATTATGACCATGGAATATTAGTGTTTAAGCCTTTTTATTATATATATATATATATATATATATATATATATATATATATATATATATATATATATATTTCTTATGCAGTGTTACATTGGAACATGCACATATCCACTACAAAATTGTACATTTTTGTTTCAACGTCAAAAAATCTAATACCTTTTAAAAACATCTCATCATCTAGGGAATCACGATTTTACTAAAAACTGTTAGGTAAAAGATTTTAGTAACATCGTGATTCCCCAAGAAATAAATAAATATCTACGGCTCTACTTATTGTACTGAGCACTGTTTTTAAATTAATATTTTGAACCCCCTGATCTTACTGTTCGTTCTTTTACATACAAACATACATACATTCATACATATATATATATATATATATATATATATATATATATATATATATATATATATATTATCCTTGTGATTGGTGTTATGCCATTCCTCAGGTAAACCGTCTGATCTTTCTAACTAGTTGCCTATTATTAAAAAAGCATAATTCAAGGGGCCTTCTACTTTTTTGCCATTCTCCGAGAGTCTCTAATTGATTCTGAAATGCTTGTGAATCTCGCCTAACAGATTTTTTTTAAATACGCGATATGGCTTTCGTTTCTCTAGAACTGCTAAGACATTAACGGTTATTGTTGAAAAGAAGCTTTAGAAAAATATGACCCAGATCAGGCTATTGTTTTAAATATCTCAAAGGTATTTGTTATGGGCCAAAGTTAGGATCATGGAAGAACAACACGAAACACAAGAGTAGAAATAACAAAGAATATATTACACGAAAAATAATACAAAAAGTGGAAGGTGTTAGTATGACTGTCAGACTGGTTTGGAGTGAACTACTCTCAGCTCGACTCGATTCAATACCGTCTCAATACCATTCGTCTCTCTTGAGAGGCGTAGTATATATATCGTTCGGAAGAGTTCATTCTGTCGGTCTATGTAGGCACCATGACAGTATTTGTTGCTTCTTCTATTTTTGGACGAATTTTTGATCTGATTCAATCTTTTTTTATCAAATCGCGAAATGAAAGGGTTATTTTACATTTATGTTTGAAGCTATATCGTTCTTAACTTTCATTAAAGAGCTTCCTGATATCAGTTCTCAACTCAGTGACTATTTACTCCTGTGTTAGTGTTAATTACAATCGGTTCAATAATGTCAAATTGGCTGCTGAGCTCAAAAATGACCTATAATCTGTCGATAACTGGGTCAAAGAAATAGCTTGGTAATTTTGACGTGTGTGAAATGAAACTGCTGCCTTTTAATCCCCCGAAGGAACCATTTACCTGCCATCAGGAGAATGGCTAACGTTTTCCACTGACATGAATTAGAAAGATTGAATAAATTTATAAGTCTACTGATTGGAAAAATCACTCGCTCTGTTATGCGAGACAAATTATCTCATCATTTATAAGTCGACCATTTATTCATTCATTGAATATTGATATCATATTTAGTCTGGAGCTTCTGCTTATAGTAAGAGATCCTTGATAAAATCCAAAGAAGTATCAGCAATATTATGAGTCCTGGCCTGTATTCACGGATTCAGTTACTACCCCGTTGCAGTATATCTTCCATATAACTTTTTTATAAATATTTTCATAGCACGTCTATATTTCTGAGATGAGGTATTATGTACATTATTTACATTATTCGGACACTTGGCACAGTGGATAAAGGCGTTGGTTAGATCCAGTGACAGGACCCAAAGAGTGCGAGTTCAATACCCGGTTAAGGCAGTGGAGAACTTTCAGAGGGAAATTAACAGGAGATAACTGATAACTGACATCCATCAAACATGGCACGTGGAACTAGAACAGTCTACCCCAGTGAGCGAAATAAAGGGTTCAGTTCGACATTCTAACCACCTGAAGAAGGCCGGGTGTACAACGGCCGAAACGTTGTGATAAATATGGCGACAAAGATGAGGATAGTAGTCCGAATCGTGTAAATAATTTTCATAGCAGTTGTTCTGGTGAGCTTTCCTCTCTGGTATCTAGATTTTATGAACGTAAGAGCACAACTAGATTCATGCCTAGATTGCATAATTTTACAGTTGATTCTGGCTAAATCCAATCCTAAGTTCTATGATGACAAATTCATCTATATTTGAAGGACAGGAACGTAACGTATAATATTTGCGGTTTAAGATACTCCTCGTTGATAATGGACTCAAATTTTTCTGAGTGACACCGCTGAGGATGATGGGCCAAACAATGGAGATAACCCTTCAGCAACAATCTTAAAAACTTCCACAGGCTTGGAAATAATTTCTCTTACATGGCTAAATAATTTTGCAACCATTAAATAACTTTGCCAAAACTGGAAATAGTTCTGGATAAATTTCTTAAGTATGCAAACAAAGATAATTTAATTTTCTTGTCTACTGTAAATTAATTGATACATTTAAAAATAAAGTGATTTGTGAACGAAATAACGAGAAGCTTTTGCGGTCGAAGAAGATTGGGAATTCGACTTACTTGGTTCGTTCATTGATGTCATTTAACGGCACATCAACACGTCTATGGGTTACGTAATGCCAAAATCTAAATATTTTTAATAGCAATTTATTAGCTTCAACTAAATATAATTTGAACGCAAACTACAAATATAAAGCCTTGCCTTCAACTACCGATAAAAATGTATTGTTGGTGATTGTGCTATAAAAAATATTTTTGGTAATTTTACTATAAATATATATTGCTGGTTAGTTTGTTTTAAAAATGTGATGTTGGTGATTGTGCTATTAATATAGATTGTTGGCAATTTTTCTATGAAAATGTATTATTTGTATTTTTACTACGAAAATCTATTTTTATATTTTCATAGTGCATTTTATGGTAGTTCATCATTTGCACAGAGCTGGGGGCCTAATTTGTGCTACCACCCTGGGTCATGGGAAACCTGGAAACAACAGCAATTATGAAGTGATTCTACGTTCCTCAATACCCCCAATCTCTTGATTAGCGGTTTTGTTTTGATTATGGGAAAGACTAGAATATGTATATATTATTAGAATGAAGAAATTCTCAGTACGAAACTTATCACGGCTGTTTTCATTTCTCACTCGACTACACACACACACACACACACACACACACACACACACACATATATATATATATATATATATATACACACGTAGTAATCCAAGCGAGTCCTATTAACATAATATAGAATTTCAAATATTAAATATAAATTTTAAACCTAACTCACAAAGAAAATTCAATATTTATTTTCATTAAATTGAACAATTTCTTTACATTTGGAATTAAGATGCGCTAAATTAATGAACATTTTCACCTACTAATTTTTAATTCCAATAGTAATGAATGACATATATATATATATATATATATATATATATATATATATATATATATATATATATATATATAATAAAGTGGACGTCATATCTAAGGCACCTTTCCACCTTTCCTCCTCATTCATTTTATTAAGTTGTCTTTGCATTCATTTTCCTTAGATATGACGTCCACTTTATTTAAATCTATATATCAGTTCCTTGGGTACAATCTGTGTTTGTTATATATATATATATATATATATATATATATATATATATATATATATATATATATACTACAGCTCAAAAGATTGAGGATACTCCTTGTAATTTTGTAAAATTTGCACAAAAGTATTTATTTTTAATTTAACTTAGAGAAAAATTATCATACATGGTTGAAAACGAGACATGATTTTTATTACAAATTTTATTATGCCCCCCCCCCAAAAAAAAAGATTTTTGTACTGGTCTTAATATCCTTCATTATCCATGATTACTGCCGTACAAAATTTTGGTATTCCTTGGAAAAGTTTCTCAAAGTATAAGTTTGATAATTTATTTAATTCTTTTTCAATGACTCTCTAAAGATCTTTTTCATTTTTTTTCTTCACTCTTGGGTCAAGTATTTCCCATGCCAATTCTGGGAGTCGCTTTAATAGCAGTGAATATATATCAGAGTGTGAGACAGAAAGGGAGACAAACAGATAGAGATACTGAATGACATAGAATTATATAGATTGCATGAAAATATAGAAACTTGTCTTAAATGTTTGACTGTATGGAGAGGAGGGGTAAATAGTGAGATCATTCTATGAAGCAACATCTATGAATGAAAGAAGAAAATGAGAAAGCCATACAGAGAAAGAAATAAAAAACATTATAAAATATAAAAGAAAATAAACGAAGAAAGAAAGAATACGAGAATGCAAAGAAAAAAGAAAAATAGAATGAAAGAATTTGAAAAAAATATAAAATTAGAAATAAGTACACAAAATCAGAAATAACGAAATTAAAAATGAAGAGGAAAATGAAATGAAAAGTTATACGAACAACATGAAAGAAAAGGACGAATTAATGATTGGGGACATGAACAAAGAAGAAAGAAAGAAAAAAAGAAAGAACAGAAATAAAGAAAGAAAGTAAAAGAATGAGGAAAGAAAGAATAACAAGAGACAGAAAGGGTAAGGAAAATATGTGTAAGAAAGAAAGAAATTATGAAATAAAGAAAGAAGAAAAAAAAGAATGCCAAGAGATCCGATTATGAGCAGAATGTGAGAATGAAGAAAGAAAGAACGAACGAATGACAGAAAGGGGAGATGATCATGAGCAAAATTTGTAAAGAATGAAAGAAAGAAAGAAAGAAAGAAAGAAGGAAAGAAAAATGACAAAAGACAGAAAGGATAATTGATCATATGCAAAATATGTGTAAGAAAGAAAGAAAGAAAGAAAGAAAGAAAGAAAGAAAGAAAGAAAGAAAGAAAGAAAGAATGATAACAGATCCAATCATGAGGAAAATGTGATACTGCAGAAAGAAAGAAAGAACGAATGACAAGAGACAGAAAGTAGAAACGATGTTGAGCAAAATTTCTAAAGAAAGAAAGAAAGAAAGAAAGAAAGAACAAGCCATAGAAATTCACCGATCATAAGGAAAATGTGAGAATGGAGAAAGAAAGAAAGAAAGAATGACAAGGGACAGAAAGTAGAAACGATCTTGAGCAAAATTTGTAAAGAAATAAAGAAAAAAGAAAGAAAGAAAGGAAGGAAGAAAGAACAAGCCATAGAAATTCATCGATCATAAGCAAAATGTGAGAATGGAGTAAGCAAAAAGAAAGCATCAATGACAGGAGACAAAAAGGAGAGACGTTCATGATCAGAATCTGAAAAGTAAGAAAAAAAAGACACGAGACAGAAATGCTAAAAGATCGTAAGTAAAATGTGAGAATTCCTAGAGAAAGTTAAAAAAAAATATAAATAGAAAGAAAGAACGAATCACAAAAGACAGAAAGGAGTGAGTATCATGAGCAAAATGTTTTCTTCCAGTTTTTGTTTAATCATTTCACAACGAGTAAAGGCAATAAAACCACAAGACGAAGACTATGATTGAAAGAACCCAAGAAAAGATTATTAAGGAGAGAGGCCAATAAAAGAACAGGAGTTAAGAAGACATAAGGTTATAATTGACATAGAATTTAAACTTTTAAAGATAAAAGTTTATTGGAGTACAAGAAACCAGAAGAAATTTTCACACGCGAGAAGTGCGAAAGGAGAAATTGTTAGCATAGAATTTATAGTTACATCTCGCCATTTCAACTGTAAATTGATGAGATCTTTCAGATTAAATTCATAGAATTTAGGTAACAAAGAGGGAATCTCATTACAACAATTGCACTGAAATTATTATAGAAAAGGCATAGAGAAGATACGTTAGAGCAGTGGGAAAGTAACTGCCTTTGAAATGCCAGGTCAGGACTGGTAATTGTTGCAGTATAGTTCATTGGATTTAATTAAGAGTCTCCAAATAGCAGAAGTACTAAACAATAAGAAAGAAAGAAAGAAAGAGTCAAATAGCGTGCACGCGCGTGAGATAATAATAATGAGCGATAGGATAGATGGATAGGATAAAAATGAAGAAAAAGCAATGAAAAGTGCACGCAAGAAAATATAGAAAACCTAAGCAAAATGAAGTGGAAAGGTAGAAGAAAAAAAAAAACAGAGAATTTACACGGACCTAATGAAAAGCAAACAAATAGAAAAGAAAGAAGAAAGAAAAAAATATGAAAGTTTATGAGAAACAAAGAAAGAACATGAGAATGAAACAGGGAATGATAGAGGTGTGTGGTATCAATGTCCACATTGACTGTCTACTCAGTCCAACCGCAACAAATTATAACTTCGTAGTAATTCTACTTAATTAGTTTGCAAGCAGCCAGTGTCCACTTCATGGTTGTCCAATTAACTTTATAATCCACGTGACAAGTAAGGATATTTGAGGTCAGCGGCCGTCAAGGACATGGTTATCCAAGCATGAAGACGATGAAAACAGAAATTCTTACTAAAAAACGGGTAACTTTATATAATTTTCACACACATAGGCACTATATATATATATATATATATATATATATATATATATATATATATATATAAATATTCTTGATAAAATCAAAGAAACTGCAATGTCGACACTTTCCCACCGCGATTATTTAGCTTCCCCTTGCCATTTCTAGAAAGGTTTTCATTGTAATTGTTCTGTACTGAGAACTTTCCGTTATACTTAGAGTATATGAACTTATGTGCAGTACTAGATTTCCGTAATTTTACAATTTAAATAGCAACCGTAAGTTCTATGCTAATCGTTTCTTCCATCGCACTTAACGCATGTGGAAATTTCTTCCAGTTCCTTTTTTTTTTCTCATATTCTCTAGCACTCAGTAAACCCTTAAGTCTTAATGGCTTTATTTCCTTGTTTTGTATATATATATATATATATATATATATATATATATATATATATATATATATATATATTGTTGTATTGATGTGAGTTTGTGACCCTTGTTTCACTCTCTTCCGATCGTCAGATAAACCCTATATCGAAAAGAACGTCAAACCCAGGGTCACAAACTCACGTCAATCCAACTAAATATGTTAGCTCTATCAATGATATTGGGCGCTTTCAATAAGTACCGCGCATATATAATATAATATAAATATTATAGATAAAAACTGCATATATATATATATATATATATATATATATATATATATATATATATATATATATATATATATATATATATTACACACACACACACATATATATATATATATATATATATATATATATATATATATATATATATATGACAATGAAGTCAACACTCGGAACGACAGACTATTTCTTGCTAAGACAATCGTCAGGCTGCATGTGATGTAACCTGACGGTCTATCTCTGATATTGAGCAATTTATCCTATAAATATAACATAACTTATAACTATATTTCATCATATATATATATATATATATATATATATATATATATATATATATGTGTGTGTGTGTGTGTGTGTGTGTGTGTGTGTGTGTGTGTGTGTGTGTGTGTGTGTGTGTGTATGAATGTACTCTATGAATGTAAGTACATTACTCATCAATTTCCATTTGTTCTTCCCTGTTTTTTTTTTGTTTTTTTCTCGCCATTGGAACTCTTTTCCAGCTTCTTGCTTTCCAGCAATCTTTGGTCTTCAAAAAAATGCAATGCAATGTCAATTGTTACCTACTCTCTTCTTGATTCCTCTGCTTTTATTGTTCTCCCTCCTTAATAATGCTTTTCTTCTCCTTATGCTTTCAATTTTTTGACTCCTTGTGTCTTAGAAGTATATTCTTTTACTAGCGGTGGAATGATAAAAATAAATGTATATATGATCCTGTGCTCCTGCGAGCAACAAAATACAAAGATGGATCTGTAATAATATAGGTCCTGTCTCGACATCAGTAATTTTCCCACCCGTGCGGGCTTTTTCTATTAATCTTTACCCGAAAATTGTTATAATGAGCTCTTCTCCCCTGTCCATAGACTGCATGAATGCAAGTGTACTTCGAGATTGACAACTAGTTCTTATTGTTTTACTGGTGAAATAACTAGATGTAAACATAAGTGATATTCTAGTAGTTTCATTTCTCGCATTTTTTCAAAACTCCTGCAAATCTCTTCCGGTTTCTTGTTTCCCTGTCTCCAACGTCATTCAAAAATGTAAATTCAATGTCAATCGGCATCTTTTGCCTTCCTGGAGTCTGTTCTTTTATTGTCCTTTCTCTTCTTTTACTTCCATTAATCTCTTGTGTCTTATTGTCATTATCAACTTGCTTGGAATAAAATGATTAAAGAAATGTCCTTTTCTCTTCTTTTGCTTTATGTGCCGTGTCATCTCAGAACGTTGACGATCATGGATCTCCACAATTTCCAGTCTGTTGTAGCACTTAATAAAATTTGTCTTTTCGTTATTTTTCCTAAGCTCTGTTCCGCCATCCATTAACTTAATATCATCAAGTATGTTATGCGATGTTATTCCCTGTCCCTCTTTCCGTTAATCTGTCCTGTGAGTATCAGACTTTCCAAGCACTGTTTCCTCATTATGTATCCCAGAAATTCCAACTGTTTCTTTCTGTTGTTAAGTATAAGTTTCCTTTTTGTTTCCATTTTGTCTAAAACCTCGCGATTTTTATATGTTCAAACCACTACATCCCCAGCATTCTTATGTAGAACTTCTTCATCTTTGAGGAGATTTCCCAGCATTCACTGCCATTTAGGAGGACATATATCACGTAACTGTTCAGTATTTTTTTTCTGTTTATTAATGCTTTGCTTATATTTTGGAATCCATATTTGACCATCCCAATACGTTTTCGGATTTCAGTTCCGCACCTTTCATCAATTTACTTTCACTTACGTGCTAATATACTTGGGAAAGGTATGAATCCTCTTCTTCTCCTCCCAGCTATGGGAAAATAGCAGTAAAGACCGAGTTCTATAGCCTTGGATGGCAACTGGTCTATCGCAGAAAGTAATAGCAACCTACTACGGGAAAAAATCTGCCTCGTCAGTCATGTATCGAAAAATACAAGATCACCAAAGCGTGTATCATGTATGGCACATAACTGACTGACTGACTTTTTATCCTATGTTGGAACGCTTCCTTTGTATTTAGATTTTTGTATTTGTTTTATTTTCGTATCTCCGATTTGTAATTTGCATTTTGGGCTCATCCTTTTCATATAATATTAAAAAAATGACACTGTATTACACCATTAGAAGGAGTTTTGCTATGTGATTGACATTCAGAGTCTGTCTATATTTCTGAGATGAGGTGTTATGTACATTATTTACATTATTCGGACTATTGTCTTCACCTTTGTCGCCATATTTATCACAACGTTTCGGCCGTTGTACGCTCCGGCCTTCTACAGGTGGTTGGAATGTCGAACTGAACCCTTTATTTCGCTCACCGGGGTAGTTCTAGTTCCACGTGCCATGTTTAATGGATGTCAGTTATCAGTTATCTCCTGCTAATTTCCCTCTGAAAGTTCTCCACTGCCTTAACCGGGTATTGAACTCACACTCTTTGGTTCCTGTCACTGGATCTAACCAACGCCTTTATCCACTGTGCCATGTGTCCGAATAGTGTAAATAATGTACATAATACCTCATCTCAGAAATATAGACGTGCTATGAAAATATTTATAAAAAAGTTATATGGAAGATATACTGCAACGGGGTAGTAACTGAATCCGTGATTACAGGCCAGGACTCATAATATTGCTGATACTTCTTTGGATTTTATCAAGGATCTCTTACTATAAGCAGAAGCTCCAGACTAAATATGATATCAATATTCAATGAATGAATAAATGGTCGACTTATAAATGATGAGATAATTTGTAGTGTAAGAATACGAAGCAAAACCAAAGCGCAGCCATCACGTTTTTTACCAAAGAATGATGACCAGTTGACGCCTTCTGCAAACGTCTGAGAAATGTGTAATATGCGGCGTGTAATAGACGAAAGTAACGTGCAAAGAAGAGTGAAAAGATCTAAGGAAGAGTAAAGGAGTGCTGAAAGCCGATGAGTGGAAAGCCGTAGACAGCTGCCACCCAGGGAAACCAAGTTTCTCGAAAATGGATTTGATAAGTGGTTTTAAATGTGACGCAGATGCATTACCAAAGATGCAGATCATTTTGAATAGTACTATTTCAGAGACAAAGATCTAATGAGCTGCATGA